TTTTTTTCTATTAGTAAACATTTAACCTACCTTGCAAATTTATTTATAAATAATTTCAAAAGATTTACTTTTGACAATGTTAATTTCCTTCACTTAGTTATCATAGTAGTATCATGAAAACTATGAAGCTATTTGTAGTATAAATATTTCTGGTAATTAATCTCACTATCAATTTCGCTGTTTTTTTTTGCTGGTTTGTTGTTGTATTGTTGACGTGAAGTGTTTACATAGTTATCGATCGAACTAATCATAATGGTATTATCGATATCAACTGCAATATCAGCAGTATGTCGGTATTGCAGATAAAGTTCGATAAACAAATTTGTACATTAAAATCCATATTAATAAAAATGTAAAAAAAAATATGCAAGAAAATTTTAGCATATATTTTGAAAAGAGGGGAGGAGTGGGGGAAGGTGGGGAGGGCCCAAAAACGGCTATGCCTCGGGCCTACGAAAGGTATAATACGGCTCTGTGCCTAGGGCCTACGAAAGGTATAATCCGGCTCTGGGATAGTGGCATTTATGTAGATAGTGGCATAGAATTTAGCATTGCGTCATGGTAAATGTTATTCCTACTAAGTGGAAGTAGTTGTGTTTTTTTTTATATTATACCCAATTAAAAAAAAGAATAGACATTTTAGTTCACAACTGAAATCTTTTCCAGATATTTCGTAGAATCAATACCTAAAAGCAAATAAATGAATGTATTTATTATATCTAACAATAAAAAATAGCAATGAACAGTTGGTGAACAAGTTTTAAGGATATTAATAGAGCTGTAATCAAAATCATTAATTTAAATCATGAACTGTAATTTTTACTCACATATGTATTTCTCTGTGGTTGTAGCATCTAATTAATTCAAATGCTGCAACACTTCAAAATGATTTGTAGATTTTTCTTAGAAAACGTTCAGTTTTTCCTAGTCGTTTTCTTTGCGACATTTTCTTCAAAAGAATTCTGGGTTTATAGCCAAGGTGTTGGAGAAATTTTCAAAAGGTAATATTTCACTTATTTTCTAATGTTATCAAATTGATCCAATTTTTATCCAATTTTGAAAATATTTCGATAATTTGTTTATTTTATATAACAATTTTTATAACATTTTTCAGTTTCGGTTACTGGTAAAATAATCTTAACCACCTTCTAAATATTATTAATATAATAGGCATTTACATGCTTGGTATCAATTATCTTTTTAAACTAATAGTAAAGAAAATGCGAATAAGAATTATTTCTTATAGTGCCTGTATACCTTTTCAATAAATTATCATTATAAAAGTTTCGTTTCTCTGTTCAGAATTTTTGCTTCATTTCATAGCACATACTACTTTTTTTTTGAAAACCCAATTTCATAATTTTGTTCAATTGTTTTAGAGTTAAAGAATATCGTCCAATCTCTGTTAGGACTATGGAAACTTACGAAGCATGTAAAATGGTAAAGACTGTCCCTAAAAGTGCGGAAGCTTTGCTTATTTTGGAAGGAAACAAGTTGTCCTTAACTTGTCCATTATGGTAAAAACAAACTGTAATTTTTAAAAAAAAAATCATTACGGTAAAGCAGTTGTTGTATTTTACGTTTTAAAAGTTACTTATTGACAAAATTATAAATCGTAGTTAAATTATAAATCACACAAAGCTACTGAAATGAAACAGGTGCTAGTATTAGCTGGATTTTTTTTTCATAATCATCGTTGAACATCCGATCCAATTTTGGGTTTACTACTACTAATGTTCAACTCCGTAGTCTTGTAATTTTGAACCAATCCAGAAGACAAGGGAACTCCAGGATCAAGCACTGGGAGGAATTTTGCCTTCGTGGAGGACTTTTTTGATGGAACTAACCCTCATTTGCGTTACATAGAGAGAAAAACCACGAATATCCCCTGGGGTCGGTGCGAGCCGGGTGCGGAATCCGCATCGACCAGCAATCGCTGGGATTCGAACTCGGTGCACCCTATTGGGAGGCGAACACTCCATCCTCTGCCCCACCATAGCTTACACCCAAAATATAGGTGATAACCGCAACCAGGATTATACATAGGGGAAGAAGTCTAGATTTGATTGACATAATCTGACCTAGTCCTCCAAGGTCATGTGTGGTTCATGTGTATAAAGGAAAAAAGGCTTAGAGGTATAAAGGGGCACAACAACAGAAGTTCTATAAACGGATTTTCCCCCTTCTCTTCTTTCAACTAACATTAGGACTTGGGAAGGCTATGGAGTGACGAAGAAATGTTTTCTCTATTTTTTATCGTTGGGTTGTTGTGTATTTTTAAACTATTGATAAACAGTAGCTCACTGTTAATTAAGACTTTTCTTTGAGAATACATTTATGCCGTCCATGTTAATTAAATCTGCTAACACATTTTGAAGTAGAAAGAATGAATAAAATGGTGGTTGGCAGGTAGCAGTGCACTCAACTATGCTTGTAGTTGTCCAACAACCGCTTAACTTTGCTTCTTATGCTCTGGCATGCAAATGACACTCTGCTAAATCTGAGTTTGTTGCTCACCCTAGAAGTTGTTTTTCTGGTATAGCATACTACACCGAGCTGTTCCCCGCTTTAGTTACGTATTCCAAGAACTGGACTTCTTCTTTCTATATTCTTTGGCCGCTATCTGGGTTTGCTTATTTCGCCATATGAGAATTTTTTGAACGAATTGAAAATATTTTGCACACAGTTTTAAAATTCGATTAGCCAAAGATAATTCCATGTATAAAAAATGTAATAAATATTTATAATTCTTTATTATTTTATTTAATAACAGTGGAAAATTTTTGAATTGCAAGGTATACAATTTTTTGCATTTTAAAATATGTAATTTTACATGACAAAGCATAAAATTGGTCAAATAATTCCTGAGAAATCAAATTTTTAAAAAATCGCAGATTTAAAATTCGATTTCTCAGGAAATATGCAAATTTCGCTTAAATTTTGTGTTCTGCCATGCAAAATTACGTTCTACAAAATGATGTAAAAAACTGTATACCTTTCAATTTAAATTTTTTTTTCAACTGTTATTGAATAAAATAATAAAAGAAATAATAAAAGAAATAATAAATAATTATTTAAAATTATTTTTTTTCATGGAATTATCTTTGGAAAAACGAGTTTTATTAATGTCTGCTCAAGTTTTCAATTCGTTTAAAAAATTCTCGAGATATGGCGAAATACGCAAAGAGTAAAATTAGCATTTAGGGGTCCAAACTTTGGATCGTTCTCCTGACCAAACTATGAGAACCTTTTTTCCCGGATCTCGGCTATCCCCTATATTTTGGAAGTCAGAAATCCTATTTCGTCGAAAAAAATGTATATTTATTCAGAGAAAGTACGTTTCTGGGTCTGATTTCGTAACTTAAATTATCGTCTGCACTAATTAATTAGCATATTCGAGATCACCCCTGGAACCATTAAATTGGAGTTCTAGAACGTGGAGATCCGATCATTACATCAAAAGTTATTTAAGGTGGTCCTTTTTTCGCGCTTTGTACATAACATAGACATAATAACACAATTAGAAAAGTAAATACATTTTCGTGTTAAAAATTAATTTGAAAGTGAATTAAGATAAGTAATTTATTTCTTCACTTAAATACTTGGTAGTTTTTTATAATTCTAAAACAGAATAGGTATATCCTACAGAAGTAATTGAGCCCTATTACTGTCAGCAAAAATATTATTGCTAATTTGTCAATGTAAATTAAATGTTTTAATAGTTATGATTATTAATGGTTTAATTATTAATCAAATTAATGTTGCTTATTAATGTAGCAAGACTTACTCTAATACTATAAGGAATTAAATAAAATGAAAAACACTCAATTAAGTTTGAAAAAACCCACTTAAATCTGAAAACCTTGGAGAAAAAAAAACCAAAACTCAAAAAACCGGGTATCTTAAAACATTGCTTGCTTTAATTTTTTAAAAGGCAATTTAGACTATTATTTATTATTATTTTACCATTTCCAGCGACTACCTGAATAT